CTTGGAAGGCTGAGGCGGAAGGATCGCCAGAGCCCAGCAGGTCAAGGCTGCGGTGGCCAGGAGCGTGCCACTGCCCTCTGCCTGGGCAACAGATGAGACTCCAACTCAAAAAAAAAAGAAAAAGAAAAAAGAATTTATGGGGCCATTGCCTTACTGGACTCTAATGTGGACTCTTTGAGCTGTGGATGGTGCCAGGCTTCCTGGCTTTGGCCACCTTCCCTGCTTTGGGGAAGTGAATCTCCTCTTTTTCTCTCATTTACTTGTTAAATAAACTATATTTTTGATCTAAAAGTAAATAAGTAAATAAAATCACTAAGTGTTGGGATAATTTGTTATGCAAAATTAATAATATAGTGGAGAAAAACATTTTGCAATATTAAACATTGCATATTATTTGTTAATGTATATATAGATAAGTTAGATGTAAAAGTAACAATTTGTGAAGTAGGTTACCAATTCTTTACATTGGCAACCAGACAGGCAGTGAACATTAACACTTCAAATAGTTTTCTCTTTATAAAAATATTTAATAAAATTTAAATAAGTGTTCTAAATATTAATAAACATTTTAAAATACAAAAATATTTATATTTTACATTGTTTTAATTTACATTTTTATAAAATTGATGCAAATTTTATAAGCATATGCATTTTTTATTTTTTAACTCTTTAGGCCATTACGCAATAGAATACAATTTATGTGAAAATATTGATTACAATGACATGTTTAATTATTTTCCTGAAATGAAGGCAAGAAAATAAGTTCTACGAAAAAAGCATGTGTTATGGGTTGAATTGTGTCTTCTCCCCCCTAAAATTCTTATGTTAAAATCCTGGCTCTCAGTACCTCAGAATGTGACCTTATTTGGAAATAGTGTCATTGCAGATATGATTAGCTAAGGTAAACCAAGGAGTGGGGTGTGACGCCGATCCAATGTGACTGATGTCCTTATAAAAAGAGGAAATCTGGACACAGAGATAAACACAGAGGGATGAGTCCATGTGACAATCGGAATTATACTTTTACCACCCAAGGAATTACCGGAAGCTAGAAGAGAAACCTGAAACAGATCTTTTCTAGCTCCTTCAGAGGGAGCATGACCCTGTTGATGCCTTGCCTTGATCATGGACTTCTAGCCTCTAGAATTGTCAGACAATAAATTTCTGTAGTTTAAGTCACTCATTTTGTAGTACTTTGTTATGGCAGCCCTGGCTAACTCATAGAGCTTGCAGTCATTTATAAATTATATCTTTCTTTTATTACTAATCCAAACAGGGCTAGCCCACCAACAGGATATGTAGACACACATGATAATAATTAAGCCCAACAACCTTTCTTATTTTGATGATATTCAATCACATAAAACCATAAGTTTAAACATATTTCCAGTTTACCATTATAAAGGTGTATCTTTGGCAAAGTAGAAAGATAAAATGTCATAATTTTAGCTCTTACATGTAGGTCTTTGATCCATTTTGAGTTCCTTTGTAATATGGTGTAAGGTAAGAGTTCATTCATTCTTTTGCATGTGGAAATTCAGTTGTCCCAGTGCCACTTATTGAAAAGATTATTGTTGGCCGGGCTCGGTGGTTCAACCTGTAATCCCAGCACTTTTGGAGGCTGAGGTGCGTGGATTGCCTGAGCCCGCGGGTTTGAGACCCGCTTGGGCAACTTGGCGAGACCTCATCTCTACAATAAATAAAAAATCAGCTGGGCATGGTAGTGCGCGCCTTTAATTCCGGTTACTCGGAAGTCTGAGGTGGAAGGATCGCCAGAGCCCAGCAGGTCAAGGCTGCGGTGGCCAGGAGCGGCCACTGCACGCCAGTCTGGGCGATGAGTGAGACTCCAACTCAAATAAATAAATAAATAAATAAATAGCCAGGCGTGGTAGTGGTGCCTGTAGTTCCAACTACTTGGAAGGATCGCCAGAGTCCAGCAGGTCCCCACAGGGGTGGCTATGAGCATGCCACTGCACTCTAGCCTGGGTGACAGAGTGAGACTCTGACTCAAAAAAAAAGAAAAGATTATTGTTGAAATCAAGGATGTGTCTTTGAACTTGCAATTCGAATCTCTTGATTTGTATGTCTGTCCTTATGCCAGCACCACATTGTCTTGGTCACTATAACTTTGCAGGAGTTTTCGAAATCGGGAAATGTGAGTCATCCAATTTTCATGGGTCTCTTGAATTTCCAAACGAAGTTACAGATAATCTTGTCAATTTCTGCAGCAGCAACAACAACAACAATGGCAAAAGCATGAGTTTTGATAGGAATTACATTGAATTTGAATTTCAGGAGTTTTACCCTCTTAACAATATTAATATTTCCAATCCATTCACATAGATTTATTTCTTCTTATTTAAATCTTCTCTAATTTCTTTCAGTGGTTTTTGTAGTTTTGTGTAGAAATCTTGCTCTTCTTGTGTTAAAATTGTTCTTTAAATGGGACTGTTTTCTTAATTTTATGTTCGGATCATTTATTACCATTGTATAGAAAAACGATTGTTGTATATTGATCTTGTATTCTACTACCTTGAGTACACTTGTTTATTAACTCTAATAAATTTTTGTGGATTCCCTAATTATTTTCTGCATATATATGATGTCATTTACAAACAGATAGTTTTGCTTTTCTCCTTTCCAATATGGATGCATTTTATTTATTTTTCTTAACTAATTGCCTTGGCTAGAACCTCTAGAACAATGCTGAATTGAATTGAAGTGACAGGAACAGTATCTATGTCTTGTTCCAGATCTTTTTTTTTTTTTTTTTTTTTTTAATGAGTTGGAGTCTCACTCCGTTGCCCAGTTTGGCACACAGTGGCATGCTCATGGCCACCCCAGCATTGACCTACTGGGCTCTGGCTATCCTTCAACCTCAGCCTTCAAAGTAGCCAGAAACACAGGCGCATGCTACCTCGCCTGGCTATTTATTTATTTATTTATTTATTTATTTGAGTTGGAGTTGGAGTTGGACCTACATGTGATTTTTTTATTGGAGAGACGAGGTCTCACCAAGTTCCCTGGGCTGGTCTCGAACCCGTGGGCTCAAGTAATCCACTAGCCTCGGCTTCCCAAAGTGCTGGGATGATAGGCTGAGCCACTGAGCCTGGCCTTGTTCCTGAGCTTAAGGACAAAACGTATTTGCTATTTGACTTTGGGCTACTTCTTCGTGCTCAGTTTTCTCATCTGCAAAATGAAATGATACCAATAACAGTACCTCCTTCATAAGGTTGCTGTGAATGTTACAAGAATCAGTACCAGTAAAGTATATGGACCAGTGCTGGACATATATTGTCTGCTCTTAATATGTTCACTTTACTAAACATCGTGATGGATAAAAATAATTAACATTCGAATCTCCTCGATGTCATTCTCATTCTTAGTATAACAGCCAAGTTGGAGAAATTTCAAAGATTAGTTCCTACACATAGGATTCTGTGTTACACATTGTAACTATTTCATGAAAGATATCTTTCTTCATACAAAGCATAGTGTTAAGATTGGACAGATTAAATGTGTCCAGAAAGTTGTTCTCTGGATCTTTATGAGAAAATATTGGACATAAAAATCTAATGAATTAAACAGATTTCAATGAGTTGCCAGTAGGTGGCTCTCTCAATTTACTATATTATTCTCAGTCCAGCTATGTGCTTTTATGTGTCAAGTCACATCATCCAAAAAAACCCTTGAAGAACAGGTCAGAAACAGCTCCCCAGGAATTAGCTCATTTAGTTGCCTTTCTTCTGGTAGTATTTACCCTCCACAGTTGTAGATGCACTTGCAGAGAAACATGAGTTGATAGCTATTTTTTAATGTTTTTTTTTTGTTTTTTGTTTTGCTTTTAATAAAACATGAGGAAACACTTTGGAAATGTTTTAATTAGAGCCTAGAATGTCAATTATTTTTACCCATCATGATAAACAGATGAACATGATTTTTAAAAATCTTTCACAGACAATTAATTTCCACTTTTTTTTTTTTTTTTGCTCATTTCTTTATAATAGCTTTAGACCTGGCTAATTCTTCCCTCAGTTTTTCTCTGCATTATAGTAATGATTTATACAAATCTAACTTTTTTTTTTTGAGAGGAGGATATTCCTATTTTTCCCAAGCTGGTCTCAAACTCTTAGGCTCAAGTGATCCTCCTGCCTCAGCTTCCCAAATAGCCGGAACTGCAGGTATGTGGCACCACGCCAGGCAAATATATCTGTTCTTTAATATATCAGTAAGTTGTTCAGGACCTTTGGCTTCCCCCAGCATTTTGCCTTCATTTTATACTGGCATTGATTACTTTTGCTAGTAGTTCCTCCAATGTTTGGTGAAGCTCTGCTTTATTCTCCAAGATATTTCTTGCTATGACAGATATATCCAGTTGTTCACCAGTTGAACCTTACAGAGTTCATAGCCCTACTCGCTGTTTCTGCAAAGATCTAGGACTTACTTCCACAGAATTACATCCTTCAACTCCTAAATATGCCTGAGCTCTAGAGGGCCAGCTCATCCCAGACCAGTTCAGAGGGGAAGAACAGACTCTTCCACTGGTTTCACAGAAAATTCACTTGCACTCAACACTTGATGAAGAGCTGCAGGGTCCCAGAAGAGCGCACAGGACAAGGTGTTTAGTCTTTCACCAGTTGGAACAGTTTTTGGGTTTTCCTTCATATTTTCTCCCCTTTGAGTCGGTCCATTTAAATCTCTGAAATTAAAAAATAAGTTCGGGCCAGGCGTGAGGGTTCATTCCCGTAATCCTAGCACTTTGGGAGGCCAAGGCAGGAGGATTGCTTGAGCCAAGGAGTCCAAGGCCAGCCTGGGCAGCATAGCAAGACCTCATCGCTACAAAAAATTTAAAAAATCAGCTGGGCATCTGTAGTCCTAGCTACTCGAGAGGCTGAGGCAGAAAGATCACCTGGGCCCAGGAAATCTGGGCTGCGGTGAGCTGTGATCATGCCACTGCACTCCAGTTGGTGCAAGTGAGTGAGATTCTGGCTCAAATAAACAAACAAAATAAATAAACTCAACCCGCTTCTCCATAGAGCAGTTCTGCCAAGAGTCAGACCTCAAGACTCCTCAACTGATCTCACGGGTAACTTGAGAGCTGAATGATCCTGCAGATATTTCCTGAATCAAGGCAAAAGTTTAGGCCTTTGTGTCCCTCACTGATCAGTCAAGGATGCGAGGTGTCCCTAGGGTGGATGCATAAACGAGTGAGGCACCTCCATTTATCTAAAGGCAATCCTGAGAGAGAGAGAGAGAGAGAGAGAGAGAGAGAGAGAGAGCTTCCTCCCTAAAGGTGGCCTCTGGGTGATGCACTACAGAATCCACTTCGGAGTCCATCTTCGGGAGGAAAAAATGAGGCCCAAGCAGCAAGAAATGAACCCAGAAGGAGAAGGGAGACCCAACAACAATATTAGGGTCTCTCAGCATAGCTTCTCTGGAATTCCTAGTTGAGTGAGCCAATAGTTTCCATTTTCTGCTGAGGCTGTTTGAAATTGGGTTTCTGTCACAACCGAAAGATTCCTGATGAACACCACCTCATGTTTGAAGAAAGCAATCATCCCTATTTTTTACTTCCACCACTTACCACAATGTTAATATTATAATGTATTTGTTTACACATCTTTCTAACAAAACTGCAAATTCCTTATATGATCATATTTTATTCACCCTATCTTTAGCATGTGCAGTAGAGTGTAAATAAAGGAGATAGTGAATAAATATTTATTGAATTCGTGAATTTAAAAATGCCAAAATGGGCCAGACCCAGCAACTCACCTGTAATCTCAGCACTTTGGGAGGCCAAGGCAGGTATATTGCTTGAGCCTGAGCAACATGGCAAGATTCCATCTCCACAAAAAATAAATAAAGTAGCCAGGTACTGTGATGCACGCTGGGGAGTCCCAGATACTTGGGAGGCTGTAGTGGTAGGATACTCGAGCCCAGGAGTTTGAGGCTGCAGTGAACTGTGATTTTGCCACTGCACTCTAGCGTGGGCAGCAGAAAGAGACCCTATCTCTAAAAAATAATTAAAAGAAGGAGAAAATGCCAAAATGATAGACAGCATGTGGGCATAGACATGGATAAGTTCACAGAGCACATTAAGTAAGGAGCAGGTAGTCAAAAATTGACTTGATTCAGAAAAAAACTATTGGAAAAGGACAATATTTGGGCTCTGAGAGTCACACTTTCTCTCTTGAGTGAATTAGTGAATTCACTAACTCAATAGGCATTCGTTAAGTAGCTCAGCTTAGAATCCACTCCAAGAAGACCATATCCCACCTAAATGAGATGGTTGAGAAAGGAGGAGTGTTTCCCAAGAGGAAACATGGGACGATGCTCTCAAGAAGGAACAGAAAGGGACACTGTCAGCGAACACAAGCGTCCATTATCAGGACCAGACTTGAGTTGGGGCCTGTTAGAAGGCTCATGCGGTAATCCAGGGAAGGAGGAAGAGGCAGGAGACTTCAGTGGAGGT